ATGTGCTGGACAACTGGGGAAATCTCTCAGGTGTCCTCATTCGCTATTTCCCATTTTACTCAAACAAAGACATCTCTCAAAATGGGGTTTTCTGGAAACATACTCAATTCTTCCCATTTCACTTCCTGCCTTGCATGCAGTAGGTTCTAGTAGGCTTCAGTGGTGCTGCCAACACTGACAGTGAGTGCTATGTGTGATAGGGACATGGAAGACATGGTGTCCTGCTTCAGAGAATGGTATTCAGTATTCTATAAATAGGTATATGAACAGTTACAAACAGTAAGAAAACAACTGCCAAAAAACAAATGATACATGCAAGAGAAAAATAGGATAAACTATACATAACCTCCGTGAAGGACAGGGGAGAGAAGACCACTGCTGATTGAGGGAGGGCTTCCTGGCAGGGAGGAGTTTCCTTCCTCAGGAGGAAAAATAGAAACTGATTGACTGAAATCAATTTATAGTTTACAAAAGGTAGAAGGAAGTGTAGGGTGTCTTCTCTCAAAAATGCTTCTTTGAAAGATGAATTAAACAGAAACCAGACAACTTAATATGAAATAATTGGGAGAAGTAGAATTCAAATCAAAGTATTCCAACTTCAAATCTGGACAGATAGATGGTGGGAACAAATGCTGAGACAATAGAAATAGCCCTGTGAGAGAAGGTAAGCAGAGGGGCTTGGCTGAGAGAGAGGGACTAATTCACAGAAGAATGAGAAATCAGCCACCCAGTCTACTCCCAAATCTTAGTGGTTCCCTCTCTTCAGAAACACCCACCATACTTTAAATTAGGGGCCCTGCAGGATTTCTATTTTGCCACCCCAAATACTCTGCTCTGGGACCTACTCTCCTTCTAACCAGATGCCTGGCAGGTCCTAAAGGCCCTGGAAGCACCAAGATTCACATATGGCAAAACTAACAGAAGAAGATACTCCACATATGAACTTCTGATTCGGCTCACAGCCCCACCCTCCTCCTTTACCCCCACCAACCCTGAGGAAACCAGATGTACAAATGGTTAACAGGAGAAAAAAAAAAATCCCACCCAGACCACTTGAAACGCGGCTAGTCTGGCTGGGCTTCCAGTCTGCTCAGAGACTGCTTCATGACTGCTATTTATAGCCTCTGGGTGCCCAGCCCAGCTTCCAGGTCACTAATTGTGGCCCAGCCCTGCGCCAATCACCACACCTCCTCCCCTGCCCTGCAAAAGGGAACAAGAAGCAAATCTAGTTTTGTTCAGCTCAGGAAGAACAGCCAGAAGTGAGATCTGAATCCAAGACCCTGTGTTATAGCCTCACAGAATGTATTAAGACTGTCCAGAAGGGACTGCCTGCACTGGATATCTTGAAGTGCGGAGCTGTGTCCTCCTTCTATAGCAGGCTCCTGTCTTGAATTCTTTAAGTGCATTCAAAGTTAAACTCTTGAGTTCAGTCTCACCAGGAAAATATTAGTGAGGAGATGTGCAGGTATTGGTTAGCAAGGGTACCAGTCAACAGTTCCCTAAAGAGCTTATTCCTTTAGTGTCTAAGTATCCATGGATTTATTTGTTTGCCTCCTCTTAGGATCTATCTATTAGATTATCTATTCATTTTTTATACCCCTATTCCAGTTATCTACAAAAAGAAAAGTACTCAGGAAAAAGGCATGCTCAGAATTAAATGTCTCAAAAAGTTTTCCTAGCATCCACAGAATATATTTTAAACTCTAAACCTTCTGAGTTTCAGATAGAGGTATTGAATATCGAGTTTTATGAGATGCTGAAAATAAGTACCCCCAATTCCAAGATGTTATTATTTGAGTTGTATTCTATAATACTACTTTACTCCTAGAGATACAGATTACTAAAATGGGCAATGACCATTTTTTGGCACTTGAGGCTTTATGAAGTTATCCCGAATGAAAAAAAAAAAAGTTTTTTTTTTTTTGTTTGTTTGTTTTTTTTAAATAAGGCATAGGAGTAAATGGCAAAAATCCCTGGCACAAAGATTCTCTGAGGCTTTTTCTCTAGTTCTGTGTCCATGTTACATATGGGTAGCTACTACCAGGCCACATTCTCCTCTGTGAATTCTATATCTGAACCCTCGGTCCCATCTCAATTAAACCTGACCATTGTCAATGATGTTCATATTCAGAACAAAGGACTGGGACAAGAGAGTTAGAATAAGAGTGAGATATCCCCTTCCTTTCCCAGGGTCTCAACACCTAAATTATGGTTACCATTCTTCTCAGACAGTGCAAGAAGCTCTCAACCCACTGTAGCCTTAAGACTACCCGTGCTGCTTAAGACTACACATCCCAACATTAGTCTGCTCCTTCTCATTTAGGGGTTCATTTGGACCACTGGATGATATGGCAGGGATTCTAGTTATTGGAGCCAAAACTAGAATGTTTCTGTGCTATCTCATCATCACCCACAAATACCAATTCTCAGTCCCAAATGGTCCCAAATCTTTCCTCCCAAGACCACAAGGGGAAAAAAGTTTCCAAATTAAAAAACTAAAACTGGCAACAAAGGTGCCCCATGGCAGTAACCTTTAAAACTGGCCATTAAAGTTTATAAGTCAGACGGGCACCAATGTGAATGATCAAGAAGAGAAAAACAGCCCCCTCCCTTGGGGACCTGGAGCCACAGCCTTCCCCCTAAAGCCACAGAGCTGATGTCACAAGAAGCACTTGCAGCCATCAACGGGTCTCTGTATCCCAATTACAATCATTCACAATGTAGGCCGCCCCTGTGTGTCTGGCTGAGAAGAAAGGAAAGGGGAGGGGCAAGAAGGCATGGGTTGGGGTATATATGAGGTAAGGAAAGGTGGGAAAGGAAGAAAACAAATCTCCTAGCGGGACGGCTGCCTTCAATTCACAGGCCAGGAGGGAACAGGCCCTCTCAGACTCCCTAGGATAGTGGTTCTCAATTTTTTCCTGCACAACACACACAAGAATGCCACAGATTCCCATCAGTAACTATGTTCATTATGCGGAGGCTCCGAACTAGCCTGATGTGGAGGAAACACAAATCAGAATTTTTTTGGTAAAGGTGTGAATAGTTTGGAAAGGTCTCCAAATCATTCTGACCATCTCCCCTGAGGGGTATTACCCCCTAGGAAGAACCAAGAGTTTAGAGAGCCTACTTCTCCCTCCCTCCCTTCCTTCCTTCCATGTATTCAACAAATACCTTTGGAGAGCTTATATGTGCCAGACATTGTTCTGGGGGTACTGGGGAGACAGCAATGAATACACAGACAAAAATCCCTGTCCTCAATGAGAATCCAGACCTCACAAGGGAGAAAAACAACAGAATGAAAAAGCAAGACCTTTGGAATATGGATTGTGATAAATGCTAAAGAGAAAAACATCAGGGAAGGGGATAGAAAGCACTTGTGGGGTGGGAAATGGAGCTGAAATTTTAGATAGGGTAGCCAGGAAATCCTCAATTAGAAGGTAGTGTTTAAAAAAAAAAAAAAAAAAAACCTAAAAGAAGAGAAAGAATGAGCAATCCAGATATGTGGGGAAAGAACATTCTCAACAGAGGGAGGGAACAGTAAGTGCGAAGGTCCAAAGGTGGGGCACACGTTTAATACCACTGAACACAGCAGTGTAAGGAGCTGTGCTGGAACCCATATGCCATTGGTTATCACAGAGCTCCTTCTCCACCTCAGATCCTACAGCTCTAGCAGTTTGGGCTGACTGCCTGTTGAACTAAATGTCCAGGACAGGTTCATACTAACAAGTAGAAAGAACTTAAACAGCTGGTGGATGGGGATATTGGTAGATAAGGTGAACTCAGTATTAAAGTATTTCACTTTACTTAAGTAGTTCAAAGTTTTGTTAAATAGAATCTCATCCATTCTTACAAAATCCTTGTACAGCAAGGGTAAGTCATATCCCTTAACTATTAGACCAGTAAGGCAGGAGGATCATTTTAAAAATGATTTTAAAACTAGAGCTGGAACAGGATTTGTTCTTAATTCCCAGTTCAGTGATCTATTATTCATAAAATCATAGAACAAAATCTACAGATTATCTTATTCATTCCTTTCATCTTACTGAAGAGCAACTCCCAAAATTAGAATTCAGGCTTCCTGGATAAGGGGTTAACTCTCCTTAGAAAGCAAAGCAGGAGGATGGTACAGCTTTTGAAAGAGGGGTCTAATTTTATCAAATCCTGAATTCTAGAAACTCTCCTGGAAGGAGAAGATATGGTGATGACATCAGGATCACAAAAGATTAAGCAGAGTCCTCTGTCCCCTGACTGCTAGAAAGTCTAGTTATCCCCCTGTGCTAGGCCTGCTGCCCTTTATCTAGCTCCCCTTTAGCACCAAACGTCCTTTGGTACACAAGAGACTGCCGGAGCCAGCGGACTGCATGTTGTAAAGACCAGAACTAAGTCTGTAGCATGAATATAGACACACACACACACACACACACATACAGTCGGTGGGAAGGAAGGGAAAAGGAAAGCACACACAACACAACACATCAGGGCAGCTGCAGAAAACAACTGCTTGTTAAGTTAAAATTAAACTCTGCACAAATATTGACCTTTGGAGGGGACCGAAACTGGTCCCATATTTACCAGCTTTATAAATGGGACTGACCACAGCTGCCCCACGCGCTTGGCCAGCATTATGGCAGGATGGGGTGAGGCCACACTTTGGGGGTGGGAGATGAATGAGAGGTGCAGGAGACATTTTAAACACTCTCTAAAATGTACTTACTACTGGTAGGTCAAAGTTCCCAAAAGCCTTAAAAGTGGAATTTCTAGGAAAGCAAATAAGGTAGTCTCTGAAAGTGGGGGGCCAGAGAAATAGGAAAAAGGAGGAAAAAGGAAGTGTCCAAAATTTTTAAAAATTTCTACGAAGAATGAGAAGCATAACCGAGATAGAAACAAAAGAACACTGGGAAGCTTATCCTTTTGAACCCTGGCCCTTGGTCAAACCAAGAGTCATAAGGTAGAAGACCAGGTGACCAATTTAAGCAACCTAATGGAACAATCTAACTGACCTGGTTTGAGTCTTGGCTCTGCTTCTTACTTGCTATGTAACCTAGGGGAAACTCAAGGACTTCCAGTTTCCTCATCTGTAAAATAGGGATATAATACAAAAATATTGACCTAATTCATAAAGATCAGAACCAAAAAGAAAACAATGTAAGTGAAAGCACTTTGCCAACAATAAAGACCACACATATATGAATTATTATTAATTCTATCCCAGATAGTTGTGCATCTTTATGCTCCAAATTGTAATCTCCTTATAGGCAAAGTCAGGGACTAGTGGGGAGAGCGTGAGCTTGCCCTGAACTTGTTAAAGAGCACACCTCAAGCTTCCACTTGCTGTAGAAAAGGGGGAGGCCAGCCTACTGAAATTGGCCCCCAGAGCTAGACTCAAGGCTGCCAAAGGACCAGATATGAAAGCGAAGAAGGGACTCAGATACCATTTCCCTTCAAGATGAACTCTGGCAAGCTAAGGTTTTCCTGGAACAAACACCATCTGGGAAATAGTTTTGTTCCAAACCTCTGCTGCCTTCACCCTCTTTTATGCCCTCCTTCATGCTCATGACTTTCATGATTAATAATGATAAGAATATAGTAGAGTATGACACACACCCCTATCCCCACTGTGCCACAGAGAATCACAACTATGATAACATTTCAAATAAAAGTACATGAAGAGACTTTGTTAAAATTAGTTGCCCAGTGTTACAGAATGCTCCTGTGCTTGTAGGTGGTTTATTGTTTATACTATACATCTTAAAACCATGGTAGACAAGCAACTGTCATTTATGTATATGTAAAAGGTGGTGACTAAGTTAAAGTCCTTTATCTCCTCAGTGTTAAACAAACACATGCTGCTAGTCTCTTTTGACTCTGTTTCACTTGTTCAATGTTTTACTTAATATATTACAGTTTATATTGTTGAACGTGTGTCACAAAATATAAACAATGTACAGCAGAACCATGTCAGCAATTCAGGAAGAATTTCCAACGTTGCAGTCTCTGTGGTCACAGGGCAGGAAGATGTTTTGCATTTGCTGCACCAAATACCTGCTAAAGCAGAGACGCAAAACAAATCAAGGAGGGAAGGAAAGGGACAGACAAGGGGGAGGAGAAGGGAAATTATACTCAGGTGGAGGAGCAGTTTAGATCCTGATCCAGAAACTTATCTTAAAATGTAATCATTATAGTCTCTATCACCTTTTTTTCTATGGCTTTGTCCTTCTTCCTAGGCCCCAGATAAGTGATAAGCCTCCAGGTTCAGCCACTCAGAGACTCTGGAGCCTCTGTTATGGAAAAGAGCCCTTCCTCACCCCACTTCCACCCTTCTCATGAGCAACTGGCTCCCTCTCCACAGGTCTTCCTTCTCTTTTCTATAAACTATGAAGAAATCAACTTAGCTGATCTTCTCTATGAGCCTAAGATTCCTTGCCAAATCTATCAGGCTGTATAGCGAGAATTGGCATTTCAAGATATTCCAAACTTCCAGAAAAAGTAATAAAACTCACCATAAGTAAGACTGTCACCAATTTAACACTCCAAAATAAAGTTCACCCCTTTATTCTCAGCACCATAGCTAGGAGCAGCCCTTAAGAGAGCTCAGTAGACCACTCTCCAGGGTCCTCCTCCCACAGCATTCTCATCCCAATAAAGTCAATGGCTAGGGCAAGTGGTTCTAGGCTAGAAGAATGGGGTAGGGTCTGAAAAAAGCATCTTCAAGAGCAAAATATTCTTAATGAAAATCTCAGGGCTGGCTGGGGATGTGGCTCAAGTGGTAGCACGCTCGCCAGGCATGCGTGCGGCCTGGGTTCTATCCTCAGGACCACATACAAACAAAGATGTTGTGTCCGCCGAAAACAAAAACAAAAAAAAAATTAAAATTCTTTCTTTCTCTCTCTCTCTCTCTTTTTTTTTTTTTTTTTTTAAAAAAAAGCTCAGGCCTTTGATTAAGCTAAGTAAATATGGAGAAAAGAATGAAAAAGCCCACAATAAGACAAGTGATCATCATCAGACAAATAGATGTCATATATCCAAGGATGCTTTGCCTGTAAGAGGTCTCTTTTTTTTGTTTATTTTTATGTGGTGCTAAGGATCGAGCCCAGGGCCTCACATGTGCTAGGCAAGCACTCTACTGCTGAGCCACAACCCAGCCCTGTAAGAGGTCTCTTGTCTCTGCAGCTCCATCTGTAAGAGCTTGCTGATCCTCTTCCAGACTGAATATGGGCTGCCTGAGTTCAATATAATTCAGCAAACTACCACCGCCATAGGATTTCTAGTTTAAAGCACTGTTGTTTTAATGATCTCCTCTTCTCTCCTGGCCAAGCTGGTAGATGGGTGTGTCAGAAAAGTCCCTAAGCAGATCATGTGCCAGGGCTGATTCTTACTTAGAATTTCTTGGTCTAACCAAGCAAAATGTCATTCCTGGGGCTTCAAACACTTTAACATTGAAGATGACTATAACATAGGCCTACAAAGGACTGTGCTTATACAGGCTTGAGAAGTATAAAATGGAAACCAGAGTCTTAGAAAAATGTTTGGATGTGACTCAACAATAAGGATAAAAATCCACAGAAACTGGATAGGGCCAGAAGAGTGAAGGCACAAAAAGAGGCCCACAGACCTGGAGGACATGTCTACACACAAGCACCCATCTATTTAATATCTGAGGCCCAGATGTTGCATAAGTTTCTAATTGTGTAAGAACTGTCTGTAATCCAGAAACAACTAAATTTCCAGCATATTAGGAAGCACCCCTCCACTGTAATCTTTGAAGCCCCTAAAGAAGCAAATAAGGAAACACTGCTACTGGGTACTAGTGAGCACTACCGACTCACCAGCTCTAGGAAACAGAGACTCAACAGAGTCTTATTCAAGCCAAGGGAAAACGCTGTTAAAACATACAAAACTCCTTTGACTAATGCGAGAGGGGAAAAGAGCCTCTATAATTAACAGAAACTGTCACAGGCATTGGGGGCCTCCGATCTGTTCAACACAAACCACTTAAAAAGACCCGGTCTTCTAGGAGAAGGCTGGAGTTTGTGAGTGGGGCTCCAAGAGCTGGGGACAGCATGTCCAAAAGAATCCCACCATATTAAAAAGAGAGAGAGAGAGAGAGAGAGAGAAGAAAAAGGGAGTAGGGTAGGGGGAACTCAAACCTCAGCTTAATGTTTTTCCACCACTGGAACTAAAAAGCAAAAAAGAAGTCCAAATGCAACCAGTTTTCAATTAGGGTCTAATTAGAAAGAAAAGTGGCACTGCTATGACAGATCTGTGGGGGAAGAAATGCAGTCAACGACTTTCGTTGGGGCTGAGCCATCCACTTGAAAGCTGTAATGATTAGAGGGATAATTTATGGTGAGAGATGGCGGAGGAGAAGGGAGGATTAGAAGAAGAGAGCCTGGGGCTGGCTGATTATGCAAGCCAAGGGCCAAACAAGATGGTCAAAAGCATGTATTGATCAGCCACCATTTGCAAAGCATTATGGAGAGGGCTGCGAGGAGAAATAAAGATCACAACAGATATCACCCTGACCCAGACAGGCTTATAAACACTATCCCTGCAATAAGATGCACCACGTTACAATCAGCCATTGTATACATATACACAAGTCTTCGGAGAAAATTTAACCTCAACTTCTTTCTATATACAAAGTCCACTCTGACAACTCACATGGCCTCTCTGCATTTTTCCAAGTTCTCTACTAATTTCCACACATGACACACAGATGCCTCACAAGAAAAAGATGCTATCATCAAATATAATTCCTGAATGAAGTGATCTGGATTGCCCCAGCCCTCAAAAGAAGCCAAGTCAGGCCTATGCCCTCAGGCAGGCTGAGACACTACATCGAGAGGAACCTCAAAATGGCTAGAAGGACATTTTCTTCTCCCTTTATGATCCCAAAGGATTTGGGTCCATTTTCTATGTTAAACGCCATAATAACAGAGAATAAGCAGAAAGGAGGTGGGGATGGGCACCCTAATATAGGACTATAAGAAGGAATCAGCTGGTTCCATACAGTACTTGCAATCAACAAAGCAGTTTGATTGGTAGAGGAATGGAATGCTTTCTTCCCTTTGCTCTGGGGTACCTTCTCCCTTGTTGATTTAGTTCAGGCAACTTGGAGGAGGGACAGGAAGGGCTAGGGCAAACATGTCACAGCCTGTAGTGAATAGGGCCAACAGAAAGAAGAGGCAAAGAACAGAGCTAAGGGGAAAGGAAAAGAGGAGAGGCCTCTCTTCCCATCCCACAACCTGGGCTCCATCCAACACAAAGTTAATTTCTAACCTCGGCTTCACCACCCTACCCACTACTTACATGATTTATCCCCCTATCTGCCTGCATCGCCTTTACAAGCCTCCCAGCCCTGCACACCATTATAAAAGCTGTCTGTGCTGCTAGCTCGACCTGGCCTGGCCCAGGCTCCTGCCACAGTAACCCTTCCCCACCCCTTCATTTTACAAGCCTTTCGCCATCATGGAAATCTGAAATCCCACGAAAGAACAGTAAACATCACAGGAGAAAGAAAATATCTAGGCAGGTCACTCTGGACAGCAAATTCACAAATAGACTGATGTGTCTAAGCCAGGGATGAAGGCTTCTAGGCAACAATAGCAAGCTACCTTCTTGCCTGAGCTCAGATGGACAATAACAAAGAGATGCACACAGAGATGTGTCAGTCCTTTATGGGGCACAGCCAAGCATCCTTTGTGCCCAGGAAATTCCCAGGCTCAAGAATCAACCAGCATGTCAGGGAAAATCACAGATAAACATGGATATTGAGTTTAGAGAACCACATGGAAATATAAAATGTTAAATAATGGAAAGAGACTAAATATTATTCAGACCACAGACTAAGAAGCAGCTCTTCTTATGGTCTCCATAGGGAGGCGGCATGGTTTAGCAGAAAGAACATGGGCTTCAGGTTTGGCTAACTGGGTCTGAAAGCTGGCTTCATCATTTATTTATTAGCTATGTGACCTTGGGCATCTTATATTTTCTGAATCTCTTTTGTCTTTGTACAATGTGAAGATATCAATTCATAAAAAGGTAGTAAAGATTAACAATAAGATTTACAGCTAGA